GGCTTTGATGGAGAGAGGAGGTGGGCATTTCGTGGAGCTGCAAAATTGCGAAGTGGGAAGCGCATCGCAAGGCCTTTTTTGGCGTGGTGGTGGAGATAGAGAGAGATTGCGGTTCGTGATGTGATGCATTGAATGGTCAGAGAGGTTGATCCAATCGTCGCACCCGACGACAAGATTTTCATTCATGAACACCTGAGCTTTGGAACGGTCAAAGGTGGCGAACGTGCGAGTTCACATGAAAATTTGTCAGAGCAAGAGGATCGTCGTCGAAAACGAATGACACAGTGCAGTGCACTCGTGTCGTGCTTTGCTTCCAGAAGTCAAGAAGGAAGACCGCCAAATCAACACGGGCCGGTTAAAACAGTCCGACTCGGAGCCAAATGTGTTGAAAATGCATCGTCGTTCCACGACGGCGAGGTCCGCCACGTCAAAGCCGTCCGCGAGGCCCTCTCTCTCTTTCTCTCTCTCGAAAGGTCACCTGCCCGCATTGAATATGACGCGGAAAAATCACATTCCCCGTCCCTCATTTAATATTATTGTAGAGGTAGAGTAATACCGACCTACCAAGATATGTTCGTCTTGAGTGATCGGACCGCCACAAAAACGGTTTTATGGTGAAAACTAACCGGAATGACTATAATTGGAATTTCCCGCGAAGATTTAGAATTAAATTAATAAATGTAGAAAATTTAGAACAGAATTAGCATTTATGCAATAGGTTTAGGACTGATTGAACAATTTTCTCGAGAAATGGACAAGTGGATGATATAAAGTTACCTCGATAGTGGAAGTCTGACCAAAATAAAAAAAACCTCAATAGTGGAAGAATGGAGAGACTATTGTAATCAGTTCATGCATCAATTTGCTTGTATATGTTTTGGTGGTTAGGGAAAGTAATGTTTTTACAAGAATTTTTAAGAAAATCAAGGATATGTTGGTAAAACTACGCGTTAGATTGCGAAATTCTCTAGGATTTCTTTTCAATTTTCAGATAAAATAATTAGATGGATGGGTAAAATGCACCCTAAATCCATCTAAGGTATCTAAATCTAATGGATTTTATGTAAAACCAAGTGGAGCTACCTTATCAAATGGTGCATAAGGGCTTATAATGTGACGCTTCAAATCTCATATTTAGAGGGAGAGGATATTTTGAGGGACAACCTTTCCCCAAATGGTCATCATCTCGCATCCCCTCTTCAACATCTTATAGGTTAAATTTCACCTTATTCTTATGTCCAAAGAGAACTTCTAAGCTTTCCTTCCCCGTGTCATGTACAGGACCTCCAACTCTTAATGCCTGATAAGGATGCATGATCTGTTGTATTTGACCTACCACGTATGATGGCCATGGAATCATAAAACTTGTAGAGACCATCTTGCACGCATAATGAAGTTAATGTAGTGACACACTCACATGGAAGAAAATCCCATCGCAATCAGAAGTTAGTTGTTGGTACAGACTTTGGACTAGGGAGGTGTTCGCGCCGGCATTATATAAGGTGATGCGGAAGATTTCCTAAAAAAATGTGAAACCAATTGGCTGCTCTCATTATTTTGGCAGCCACATTTCAAAAATCATGTGAGAATATTAACTTCTTAAATGTTAGAATTCGATGACGTAATTCCCATTACTCATGGACCCATTGGCCCGTGACAATACCGTATGTGTAATTTAAAAGGCTGATCCATAACTTAGAAGTTAAAGAGATTTAAAAAGTTACTTGTCGACAGCAGATGCATCAACACCGCCCTTTTCTCTATTGCACAACAACTTGTGGTTTTTTTTTTTTTTTCGGTTGTTCGTGAAACGGGCCTAAACTGAGGCTGTAGAGCTATCAAGCATAGTGAACAAATGGGGTTTTTAATGAAGCTAAAGGGTTGATCGGGGGCAAAACAATAAATGCAAGCTCCCACTAATTGCCCCTCTCACCTAACTCGAACGACTACTTGTACGCAGCACTAAACTTGAAAAGCTCCCCTAGCCCTAGACACTTCTGCATCATGTCTTGCTTGGTACCTCCTCAAGTGGCCCTTCCACTTGAACGATTCGCCGGAGAATTCGATGTCAAATAATGTGCAAATGGCCTTCTTGAAATCATTGGCATTATTCTCGAGCCAAAATGTCCTCCACATCTCAAACGTTCTTCTCCGCTTGGCCGGTGCTGCTGTTGCTTGGCAGTTTATCTCCGGTATGTAGGGTTTCGTATGGGGAAGTGTCTTGGCGCAGACTAGCTTCCGACGTTTGCCCTTACAATTCCTTCAAATCATTAGATCGTTCGGTCTAATGGTCATCAAACTTGGCTTGTTGCGGGGAGAGCTGATATGAATATGTTGTTGTTGCAGAAGTCAATAACCAAGTCCGAAGACAATTGTACATTGTTGTCACAGAAGTCACTAAACAAGCCCCACAACAATTGCATGGTGAAGTCCGGCTTGATTGGGACGATCAAAACCGATCGCCGGTGGTAATATCCTCCATTACAAAATTTAGAATGCGATTAAATCACTTTCAGGAGAAATGAAATTGACAAATCATTTTGTAGAGCAAATTGTGAGAAAATGGTATATGAGTGAGGATTGAAGAATGGTAAAAAATGAGAGCGGGAGGGAGCCGATTTATAGAGGGGAAATTTTTTCCCCTTCCACCGGCTGACCAATGGGTGTTCAACGGTCGCTGGATCACTAATCTTGTGACGGAGACCCCACAATGTATTTAATGTTCGATTGGAAGCCTGAAACCATAAAAAAGAATGTTGAGCCCAGGCCAGTCCATTAGGACCTCTAGATCATTTAGCCCGCCACCCAATGGTTCGTGCCTGGGTATGGTCCTAGTTGGGTTGAGCTCGCACAATCTAGTGCCGACTCCTAACCGGCAAGCACGAGAGGTTTGTTGGTGTTCAGTATTCTTTTTGTAGAGAGAGAAGTGTGACATAGACGACATGTCATACAATATGTGGATGCCAACGTGTCCAAACAAATGGCATCATTCTTCACGACAACCGCCACCATAACGAGTTTTAACAGACGGATTACATTGAGAAAATTTCCGAAAATTCAAAAATCACATTGAAACAAAAAAAAAATTCAAGAACCATACTGAATATTGAGAAAAAGTATAAAGACCTTCTGTGTCGTCACTTCTTGTGTATTGAAGACATAGCACCATAATAACCAAATTATTTTAATGACCTAGACAAAGTGGGAAAGCTTGTCTTCTCGATGCCAAGGTCCTTACGTGATTGGCATGAAAAAAAAACCAACGTTGAAATTTAATAAGACAACTCCATTACGACATTCTCTAGTTTCTAGAAAGGAAAGAACTCCTCGTAAAGAAAGAAAAAGCATCCTCTGCTGCACGTGTTACGAATTCCTGGTCAAAGAGTAAACTGGGATAATACACTATACTATGGCTTGTTGCAGCTAAAGGCAATAGCCCAAGCGATTCTTAGTATTATTTATGTAAGGCATGAACGTTGTCCGCACGATTGACTGGCATGAGCCCGCAGTTTGAATGGAAAAGTCGTTTCTCACAGCCTTTATCTTGTCTTCTACCTTCTTTGCATCTTGTATCATGTTTTTCTTTTCCTGCTCGAGTATTATATTGAAGCCATGAATTGATATAGCCCATGAAAACCTCTTTGTTTTATTGTTTACTCACTTCCAATCTTTCTAACTTTTCAATTACTCTTTATAGGTGCGGTAAACGTCCTCGTCCTTCGTCCTCTTTTCAATTTTATCCTATCTTTTTAGGTTACTAAAATAAAGAGTAAATGACACGATTGATCATTAAATTTTGGGTTATATAGCAATGTGGTATTCAAATTTTTAATTTATTCAATGTGATCATTGAACTTTAACCCAATGCGCAATGTTGTCTATGAACTTTTAATTTATTCAATGTGATTCCTGAACCTTTTATACATGTTCAATCTAGTCCACAAAACAAAAATATTTAATGTTTTGAATATTTTCATATAATAAATGGACTAATTTAAACATTTACGGAAAGTGTAGGGATCATATTGAATAAATTAAAAGTTCAGGGATGACACTGCATATTAAGCCAAAATTCAGTGACCGAATTTAACATATTAAAATTTCAGGGACTATATTGCACATTGGGCCAAAGTTTAGAGACTATCTATATCATTATCCCTAAAATAAATCCTTACCTCTTGAACTCATAACAAATCTATCGCAAGGCAAAACTTCAAATCTATGTTTTAATTGCCCTTTTGCCTGTTTTAGCATTGTGTATTTACGAATTCGCATTGAGACCGTATTTTGTTAAATTTTTTTTTTATTTTCTATTCAAACAAAAAAATGTAAGAATTTTAAATAAGTAAAATAACTTCTATAAAGCCAAGTAAATATTTGTCCGGTTTAAAAGATAAAAGACATAAAGGGGTGGGAGAAAATCCCACAAACAAACAGAAAAACAAAAGTAGGGACATAATTGAAACTCCATAAAAAGAATAATCCTTCTTACAATTGGTGCTAAAGAAACTCTAGTAGATTTGAAATAAATTCCAAACATTGAATTCTTCTGTTTTACAGCATTGAAAGGTCAGATCAAATCAAAAAAATCTTTGAAAGGTTGAGATATATATTGTCATTTTGCCTTCTTTCTATTCTGAACTGCTTCAAAAGTAATTGGACATAAGTAATGCGCAGTCGCTGTGTTTATTCAAATGAAGCTCGATGTTTCGGTTTCACAAGGTACATTGTTTGGGCGACATATAAACCGAGGCTTTGCTGCTGTTCTGTGCCTTGATTTACCATGGAGAATAGTTCTCACTTCTCACGCTGACTGAAACATGAAGACGGTGAAGTTAATTGAATCATCAACAACCTAGTCTTAACGGTCTGTTACTACCATTGAAGACGATGATCCTTGCTCTATACTTATGTCTGCTTCTGTGCAACAACCATTTCTTTGTTTTACAAAAAATTGACAGGAAATTGGTCTGAGCCGGTCAAGAAATCACGATCGGCAAAGAGCAAAACCGATCACTGCAGCATTGAATTGCAGTTGCAATTGCAACAATGTTTCTGTTTTCTGTGAACTTCATCACATTGCTAGTCACTGAACCGTTTGAGTTGTAGTGTGTCAATGTCAAAGACTTTTTCTTCATGTCTGGACCAAAATTGACAAACCCCCCTCTCCTCTCTCCACAATAACAAATACAAAAGAAAATTTCGAAAATCAAAAGAAACTAAATAAAAGAATTGAGCAGAAGGAAGGACTAAGAATACATATATATGAACAGAAATCTTTGGAGTTTCAGATGTACAAATAAATTGGATCAGGGCATGACAACAATCTCTATCTGGCATCAAGCATTGTGACTGTAACTTGGTTCACAGTGCATGTCTCGTCATGCTTGCTTGACGATGAATCCGTCTCTACAGGCCTTCCCAAGCAAAAGCCGGGATTTTTAGGGTGTGGCATTGTTGGGTTTTCGCTGCTCAGCATCAAGACCACAGACGACATGGCCAGCCTGTCCTCCGCATGCTCTTGGACGCACAAAAGGCCGACCTGAATGCATTTCAATACTTCATTCATCGAGTATGCATCTCCCACCGCTGAATCCAGTAGCTCCAAACCCTTCCCTTCTTTCCACAACTTACATGCCTGCAATTAACAAGACAACGTTCACTGACATGTGGCTATGGGACAAAATCAAAACACTTCACTAGCAATGTCAAATCAGATGGCATATATATAAAGTTTCTGCTTCAGATAACTATTCATGTTTCGATGGATGAGCATCTCTCCATACTTACATGTCCAAGAAGGTTCAGTTCGCTGTCCGCATAATAGAATCCCCGGTTTTTTTTACCACTTACAATCTCCAAGACCAACACGCCAAAGCTGAACACATCGGACTTCTCTGAAAATAGTCCGTCCATGGCATATTCCGGGGCCATGTACCCACTGCGGGGTTTAGGCAAAATAGAATTAGTGCAATTTCAGAAATATGATCCTGGAACTCGTGAAAACAATGTTCCATGGTACTTACTACGTGCCAACGACTCTCCTCGTATTCGCCTCGATCTGATCTCTGCCAAAAATCCTGGCCATGCCAAAGTCTGAGATTTTGGGGTTCAACTCCCCATCGAGCAAGATGTTGCTCGCTTTGAGATCCCTATGTATGATTCTAAACCTGGAGTCCTGGTGAAGATAAAGAAGACCTCGAGCGATCCCACAGATGATGTTAAACCGCCGCTCCCAATTTAACATGGAGCTCTTGGTTTTACCTGCAGAGACTTAGGGTGATGATCCTGAAACAGAAACTCGAACATTTCCAATCCATTTTGATAATATGAGAAAAAAGGGTAATTCCAGGAACTTACTGAATAGAACAGAATCCAGACTCTTATGCTCCATGTATTCGTAAATTAGGATCTTCTCATCCAGCTCGACGCAGCAGCCGATAAGTCGCACAAGATTTCGGTGTTGAAGCCGAGCAATCAATCGAACCTCATTTTTGAATTCTTCCGTTCCTTGCCCGGAATTCTTCGAGAGCCTTTTAACCGCTACTACTGGGCCTTCTTCAATCCTACACTGAAGCACAAAGGAAACAAATGGAGCTCTCAAGATGCTTCCTCCATTGACATTTTTCTGGCCACATTCGTCTATTCGAAATGGAGCACTCACCTTGTAAACACAGCCGAAACCGCCTTGCCCAAGCTTGTTCTCGTCGCAGAAGTTCTTGGTTGCCAAAGCAATCGCGTTGAAATCGAACAATGGTAACTCTAGATCCTCGGGCTTGTTTTCCCTCGAATAGTCTCTCTTACTGGAGAAGACTACTTCATTTAACAGAAAATCTTGGCTTCTCTCAAGAGCTCCTGGTCTCGCGAAGAAGCAGTCATCATATCAAAATAGTATTTCCTACTGCATGCCGATTCATTTAGTACATGTTATCGGTAAGTAAGACACTAGAACTACCTCTTGGTTCGGTGTTTCTTGCACGGGAAATCACCAAAGGCTTCCTCTTCCACATGAGGAAGGCACCGAGTGCTAGTAACAGAACGCCACCACCAGCGGCAATGCCCACTATTGATAATGTTCCCAGTCTGTTGCTCGAACTCTTTTGAGCGAACAGTCCGCCGTAAGCCGCTAATACATCAAAAGAATTTTGGAACATTAGGAATTGGACCTTATATTCGATATAAATTAGTAAAGGGAGCTCCTCAAACCTGTTAAACTGGAAATCACATACATATACTCATAATTGGTATGGTAAAATTTACTCCTTTTCTCATCATCTAGCAAAAGCTTGCATAATCACGACCGGACTGAACTAGACAAGTAGAACTTAACCAAACAATAGCCATGTTACTGTTAGGAATTCAATGTCCAATTACCTGACTTTGAAAAGGGTATTTGTAATTTCCTCGATTTTTACTTTGTTCACAAGTGAATTCTCGATAACCAGCCACTTTTTCAATCCTAGAGCGCCACGACCTCAATTACTTTCGCAAATGGAGAACCGGGAAACTCCTCGAACCTTAGCCATAAGAAACATGTCGCGAACTTCGTCATCTCATTTCTCCGATTAAATAAATCCGTCCATCTTATCCCAAAAGACATAACTAAAACAAACAAATTTAGTCTTTATTCTAATCATCAACAAGACGGACCCAGCATGATCAACAGGGATCTGATCTGATGTAAAGCTAACCCCTCCTACCAAAAAGTAGATCAAGCGCTTTATCTTAATAGTTCCAAGATTTAGGCCCTTCTCAAGGCACCGAATTTGACTTGGGTTTCTTTGAAAAAGTTCCCAAAACCAAACGGGCCCCTAGTATTACCCCGCCCGAGCAAATTCTAACTAAAGACTCCATGATTGACTATTGCAGAATTGCTTTGAAGGCAGCAGAGAGTGAAATGGACAGGCCCCCAGAGAAAGAAAAGAAAGAATTCTGAAGCTTGGAAGTCAACAGTGTCGGCTCAAGGCGTTGAGGGGTTAGATAGATTGGAGAGATCGAGGGGTATCTACTCGCAGGGCCCACCCCCCATCATTTAATCAACTCTTTAATTATGCCATTTTGCAATCACCGCAACCATTCAAGGAGTACCCTAAGCTATGGTGATGGGGGACCAACGGAATTAACCATCACGGGCGTTGCGCTTACGTCAGCTCACGGTATACGCGTCGGCCGACCTCGGCATTTCCAAAGAGCACGGATCCACGTGTCGAGGGGGCCACGGGATGGCCGACCCTCGCCTGTGCAGGTGGTGGCACTATGGTTACCCCGCCACCGAGCGACGACTGGTGCCAGCCCACCCTTACTCGGCGATGGCGACATTGGTGATACCACCGCATCCGTAAGGGCCTACTTGCCCTCACTGAGGGGGTAGCGGCAACACTCCCGTGGCTATTACAAAGTTGTAGAATTTCAAGATAAAAGTTGTATGCAATTTTTGTTATAGTACAATGGTATGTAATTGCGTACTACTTTATATCGTATCACCGTAAATAAAGAATTTTTTTCAGTATGACTGTAAGACGTTATGTCATTTTCAAGCTAAAGTTGTTGTATGGCTTCTTTTTTAACATTTACAACATTATTAAGAAGACGATGATGTACCGGCATAAATAGAAAAATTTTATATTATGCATATAGTTTTCATGTCAAGGTGCAAAGCTTTGGACTATAATTTTTTTATATTAAATGATAGGATGTTCAATGATACTTTGGTGAATTGCAATATTTTTATGCACAATCTTACGACGGTATGTCATCCTTAAGAGAAAATTGTTGTACTTTAGTTTTGCTACTTTAGGATGGCACGACATTTGGTCGTACATTAGGCCAAAAACGTTGCACAATATACCTTACTCGCCTAGACTATAAAAGGAATGCGGGACAACCAACTATTGCCGGTCGCCCCTTCGGTTGTGCGGTACAATAATGTACCACAGACAATCCAGCTCAAAACTATCCTACCTCGCATTGTCTACTTACTCAGAATCAACTCTTTCCTATACGCAAAAAAAAAAAAAAACAATAATTTCATCTTCGATGACATGAGATGTACTAAAAAAAGCAAATAAGGTAAGATGCAAATCAAAATCAGGTAGGTAGAAATGGTTGACATCTGGTAGATTATAAAAAATCTAATCGTACCCTCGACTCCTAGACACAAGCAAATACCATGTGCTAAGAGACTGACTCAACATTTCCCACCAATCATCACTCACGAATATGTGCAAACCGTGCAAGTGGACGTGAGAAAAACCCTATATCAATCGGGCAGGCATATTAAGTTACTAACCTATACTACATAATGAACAGAGCTTTATAAATTTTAAAAAAAGAATAATGAGTTTTATATGATGATGACTTGGTGCGTTGTCGGAACGTCGTGGGGGCCAACGTGGGGCCCAGCCCATGTGGCGCATGTGGTCCGAAGCACGTGCGCCACACAATAAGGTAGAGCTCTCAGCGTGTGTGTGTGTGTGTGAAAGAAGACACAACCCCACACCAACCCACTTTTACGAAGGTGGGAACCACTTCGGATGAATCCCCCCACCACCGCTCCTTCGCGGCCTCCCCCAGGTTGTCCTTCTGTCAATTTTGATGTTTTTTGCACCGGCTGGTCGCTGCACAATCATTAAGAGGGAGGGCCGTTCCCATTTTCCCCCAACAAAAAAAATTTGGGGGCATATTTGGTCTTCTAGGACTCCCCCTAAACTCTCCATCATTTTCAAATTTTCAAAAAAAGAAAGAAGAAGAAGAAGAAATTGAAATGAATAGATAAAACGTGAGCTGTGAACTATGAAGATGGCGAGGCACGGTTTTCGAATTTAATGGAGAGGCTAAGAGTTTTGGTTTTATTTGAATTTCGAATCGAACTCGAGATTAGTGGGTTCTGTGTTTCGCTATCGAACTTCGTGTTGAGATGATTTCGCCCGGTTTAAACCTCGCTTAAGCCGTTTTCCCTATGAGCTTTTCCAATTTAATTCCCTAACAAGCATGACACCCCCTAGGCCTTGGCATCTATCCCTTAGATCGGTGAATTCACAGTTGATGCAGGATCAAACAATCAAATATGAGAGAGATTGAAGGAGCACCAAGGACTTACCAATGTCGGCAGCAGACAGCTTGACGTAGAAATCTTGCCCGCCATCTATGTAGTGCCTCATGTCCAACAGATCGTCAAACCACATCACGCAGCCCGCCTCGCCGTTGCTGATGTTCGCGCTCGAGTAGCCGGTGCAGGAGCAATTCTTGGCGCAGCCCTTTTGGCAATCCTGGAGGCTCATCTCCATGTCCACCAGCGTGTTGCTGCTCTCGGGCAGCTTCATCCCCTTCAATGGCAAGAACCCATCGGTCGAGCAGTCCAATTTTTTGTCCCTCACGCACCCATCTGAGCCTTCCCTCAAGTTCCACGCCTGTGGGTTCTTGGGACTGAACCCCACTGTGCAGTTGCAGACCGGCGAGCCGTTGGTGTCGCAGATCCCGTAAGGGCCACACTCGCCGATATTGTCGCACTGGTCTTTCGGGGCATACCAGAACAAGCTCCAGGACTGGCTGTCCTCGACCCAAGTGAACCTCTGAAGATACCCTGTTGAGTTCACGGTCAGTCTCGAGATTATGCTGGGGTTGTTCACCTCGTAGGAGTAGTACACCTGTTGTTGATTGGAGATGAAAGTGAAGTCGATGTCGCTCGTGGACACCATCTCCGGGACGCCGCTGAACCGGATCCCGTTCCACGGGCCGCTCCGGTATAACTTCGTGCCGTTGTCCCAGAGAAAAGCTTCCGGGTATCCATGGAAATCGAGCTTGAAAGAGAAATCCCCCGGGGACGGGTCTTGTAGGCTCTTCCAAGAATTCAAGAACCGGTCAAGGCCCTGGCTGAAGTCCCACCCTAGCTTCATGTCGGGCAAGAGGGTGTCTGTGGGAAAATCGAAGCTCTGCCACAAGTAGTTGTTGCTGCTCTCGTCACCCTCTTCTCTGACGACAAGATTGCCATTGCCCAGGAGCTGAGCAACAGGGTTCACTGGGCTCGAATTGGCCTCGGTTTGATTCGCTGACCAGAGGACGATGTTGGTTGCCTGGTTAAGAACGACCACGTTGTTGCCCTTGTCCCCAATCTTGAACGCGGATGACGACAAGTTCGTGAGCGGGGTGCCCCTGTTGGCCACCCAGACGTATGTCCTGTCCGAGATGTTCTTGTACCATATGCCCACGTAGTAGTTGGTGCCGTCTGGCGTGAAGAACCCGAGCTCGAAGACATCATTTGCAGAGACGAGGGTCCCGTCGCCGCTGATCGATTGGTTTGCAGAGATGGTGTCCGAGGAGGTGGTGCTAGTGGCGAAGAAGGTGATGATTACGAGTAAAGCGAAGCAGGAATGGAGAGCTGCGACTCCACTCATTCTCCACTAACGGGGTTGTGGCGATTTCGAGGATGTCTCTCTTTCTCTCTCTCTCTCTGAAGCATCTGCGGTGTTCTGTTCTTGCCTTCATGTTCAAGACATCTGGTGTGGTTTGATACGGAAGAGGAGGGGAAATGACAGATGGTTTGACCCCAACACCCTCGTTTGTCCGATCTCTGATTCTTGCATTTAATAAGCTAGAAGCCTTTAAAGAACAACATAATGTCCACAAATTTTATAAGACAACGTGTTTCAAAGGTTTGAATCACGTAAAGCCTTGGGCCTTAGCTGGGCTTTTTCCAAGGTGTTTTCCTAGGTCAAATTGGGAAGGTCACCTAACTCCTCTTTGTCACGAATATTTTTAGCACACTTTCTTTTTTCCTTCCTCTTACAAAATTATGAAAAGATTCAAATGAGGAAACTACCCTAGCACTCGCCCACCTAAAAAGAAAAAGGAAAAAATATGCATTTTCTACAAACACATATGCATGAACTATATAGCTTTGCTTTTGTCCATTACATCAGAAATCGCAATCGACTATTTTAAACTTGAATTAGTGCGTATTAATAGACACCAGGAGTTACAATTTTACACAAGCGACCGATGGACCGATTCAAAGTTGCCCCACGCCGAGCAGAGCCAAATGTCGACACAAGAAAATACAAGGACACATAGAAGTATTAGCGGATGGCGCTCTCATGTTTGTCACCTACTTTGTCTCTCTATGCAGAAGATTCAATTTTCCATCAAGAATATAGCGAGATATCAGATAAGTTTGACATCTTTGCATGCTTTCGTTCTCACTCGACATGAAAAGATTCCTTTGGCGCCACATTGCTCCCGTGATTCTTGCTTATGCAATCTGACAACGGCGACATCGGCAAATTAGGTTGCTGACTTGATTACAAGGACCGCATGTGTAAAAACAAGGAGGCCAATCTGATAAGGACTGTAATTTACGTGAGCCGTCGCTCTGCAAGTAGCTTTCATGAAAACTAGGGTTTCGTATTTATGAAACCGGCACGAGCTTGACGAGCTTAGATGCTGATGTATAAGTCGTTTCGAACAGCAATATCAATGTCCATCGCTCTTGGGTTGTTCTGCAGCTTCTGGTGACGGAGTCAATGTGGAATAAGCAGGTCTCTGTCTGGGCCTACTTCGCGTTCGTGACTCACCGGTCATTTTGTTCTTCGATAGAAAAGCATGACCGAGACCCAATCACAAGAACAAATTACAAGCACCACCTTTTTCTTTTCTTATGATTATAGAAGAATGTTGAACGATAAAAGTCATGGATGGACGCCACCAGCAGAACCTTCAAGAATAGAAAAGTACCCACTATTTTAGACAATACTTATGTCCGAGTCATTTCGTTAATTAATGTTGTTCATCCATATAAAAAGATTATACATTTGAACTGGTTAACGTAGTCACTTTTTCGACCAAAAAACAAAAACGTACTCACTGTAACATCTCAAGTTTGACGTCGGATGGGAAAGGTCCGGTTGGTGATATATGAGCAAACAGGCACTCCCAAAAGGTCGCCACCTTGTGTGGTTTGTCGAGGCACTCTTTTCGGGGGCTCGGTCCATATAGACAAGGCCGAGCTTTATAATCATGTTAGCATGTCATGTGATTTTTTTTTTCCATATTATATACGAATTATCGTCACGCCGAAGAGTCGGTATGATAGGAAGAAAGACGATCAATTCAGGATTAGGCCCCGGTATATTCTTATTTTGTGTGCCTAATCAACAAACATCGGCTTGTTTCCTTTACTGTTGTCGCCTTCCATGTGGTTTCTTCAATGCCTCGTTTCAGATAATATTCTTTCTTAGTTAATCCAACTGATCTAATTGTGCCCTTAATTTAAAATATGTAAGTTATAATAAAGCATCCATCTAGGTTTTTTTTTTTTTTTGGATAACATCCATCTAGGTTGAATTCTTAGGCTGCGTTTGGTCGACCGGATAAAAGCCAGGATAGGATATATTTTATCCTATCCTGTGTTTGGTGGTGGTCCATGATAGGATAAGGTCGGATATGAAGAGGATATAGCTGGATAAAAAATCCGGGGGGGTGGGATAGCACCGGATAGGATTTCTAATGTCTATTTTTCCGTAAACCCTACGCTCCACTCGCCGTCATCTTCATCCCCACACCTTGTGCGCTTTCACCAAAAAAATTTCTCGGCTTTTTTTCCTTCACCGACTCCTCCGGACCCGTGAATAGCAAAAAAAAAAAAAAAATTTATCCTATCCGACTTTAAATCTGTAGTCCACCAAACAGTGGATAGGATATGAAGAAATCCTAGGATTTCTTATCCTATCCTATCTAGTCCTATCCTATTTAGAAATCCGGACGACCAAACGCAGCCTTAGTGTATTTGCCAAACGTTGGTGACATCATTGATCATTCCAACCATGTACCGATAATCCTTTTTGGAAGTTGCTGAGAATGTCATGCGTCTTTATCTTTATCTGCCGAATCAAATTGATGGCAATTCCCCCTGTCGAGAGCCAATCAAGAATTGGGGAGGAGAAAGAAAAGATGTTAAAGCTCCTCTCGACATCTTCAAACGACAAGCGTTGCGTTAAGGGCAAGAGATGCTCCTAACTTTGCTTTCCTATTCTTAGGGACCAACATTCCCATTTATTTCTTTTTAAGAAAAATGACATAAACAGTCCATAAACTTACCCAATATGCAATATGATTCTTGAACTTTTAATTTGTTCAATATGGTTTCTGAACTTTAACCTAATGTACCATGTGGTCCCTGAACCTTTAATTTGTTCAATGTCGTTCATGAATTTTTAGTACATGTTCAATTTAGTCCTTGAACTATATAAAAATATTCAATGTAGTCCTTCCACTAATTTAAGTTCAGGGACTACATTGAACATGTACCAAAAGTTCAAGGACCACATTGAATATAAGCTAAAGTTCAGGGACGACATTGAACAAATTAAAAATTCAGGAATTATTTGGGTCATTATCTCTTCTTTTTATGCCTGCACTATGGAGAGTTGCAATTCTTGGTATTCGGCAAATATGACATGGCGTGGCAATTAAATCTATGGGATTGGGATTCTGTAAATTTAGGGAGCCAATTCAATTATGAAACTTATTTGTTTGAAATAGTTGACATGTGAACAAGTGAAAAATCAAGTGTCTAGATTCACCTGAATCACTACAATATTCACATTTGATCAATATGTGAACTGTTAGAAGTGGTCATTGCTACTAGGCCTAGGAAGTTGATTGTCAGTTGCTTAAGACGGATGACCTTAGATATGAGCTCGCGACCTCTCACCACAATTAGGTGAGAGACAGAGAGAAAGTCGTGGCGAGAGGGATGATGCCCTAACGTGGCAAGGGTGACTGGAATTGTCTCAATGATGACAAGAGACGAAGGTGGGGGTGGGCTTAGTCGATCATACATGCACCAGACAGGTCGGCAGGAGGAGGAGGAGGGAAAAATAAAGTACTCTAAGACTCCATTTATTTCACGGAAAATGCTTGGTTTGCTTAAGAAAATGAGTTAACGAAAAATCTATGCTTAAATCTAGGAAAATAATTTCCTCTTTCTAAATATGACTAAGTATCGGCGCTTGGACCCTAAACTCTATACTTGGGAATGAAAACCCTTGCGTTGGTTGCTGGATCTTGGCTTGCAAGACCAAGTTTCTGACGGCCAGGCCCAGGTCCATCGAGGCTGAGCCCGGGCCCTAGCACCTATATCCAGGTCCATCAAGGCTGGGCTTGAACCCCTGATGCCCATACCCGATTCCCTAGCACCCGAGCCTGGGCCTATAAAGGCCGTGCTCGGTCCCCAATGCTCGAGCTCTGGTCCACAAAGGCCGTGAGCAGGTTCTTGACACTTGTTTTTGGGTCCTTAATTAATGAAATGTTCGTTTTTATAAAAATGTTTAATAAGAAATTTGTATTTTTTAATTATGTTTAAAATTCAAATTCTTAATTATTTTTTAAAATTCGAATTTTTAATTAATTTTATTTTTTCTCTTTTATTTTTTCATTCCGTTTCTTTTTCCTTCTCCCTTGGCGAGTGGCCAGCCACGGCGATGGCCAACGACCAGCCATAGGCAAGGGAAGAGCTCGCCTGTGGCTGGCCATCGGCCGAGAAAGAAGGAAAAAGAAAAGGAAAGAAAAGAAAAAAAATGAAAAGAAAACAATAATTAAAATAATTAAAATTTTGAATATTTGGTAATTTTTAGATTTTCCCTACTAAATGGCAAACAATATTTTCTAGTTCATTTTCAAGCTTCAGCCAAATATCGGAAAATGATAATTGAAAAATATTTTCTAGAAACGTCACACTTTTCGCGAAAGCTCCGTTTGTTTCAAGAAAAATGAATGATTAAAAAAATATTTTTTTAAAAATAATCGTTTGTATCGCTTGAAATAATTAATCAACATAAGATATTTTCATCATCCACAAAAATCTGTTTCTTTATGTACAATCAAGTCCTCTGACTTGCTTGGCGTTTACAAACAGTTTTTCAAACTTACTTAACGTGTCCAATTTGTTCTTTTTTTGTCACCGCATTAACGAATGTTGTCACAATCAGTGTGGTTAAAAATTGTCGTGACATGCATGTCGCAAAATACAGAAGAGAGAGAGAGAGAGAGAGAGAGAGAGAGAGAGCTAATGTAGAGAATTCAATTGGCAATTCTGCAGACATCAGCTATGTCACTTTAGCAAAACTGATGGTCGTTGACAAAAAGACTCAATTGCACAAGTTAGAAATGTAGAGAATTCAATTATAGATCGAAGAAATTTTTCTGGGTCAGTTATGTATTTCTAGAGTTATGGGATCGAAAGTGAACTTCCCTAGTTTTGAATAGGTAAAAGTCACGAACACGTGCAAAAAAATCATGAGAAATTGTGAAAGTTGTTGCCCCTAGGTCATCACACGTTATCTCGTGAAAGTTTTGATTTCCAATGTAATATTTGGTCACGAGCTCAGGACAAATTGTTTCTATCAGTCCAAATATCAGTGGATGATGGCACTGCCTAAGGCGCTTGACCACTCCGTCGTCGGTTTATTAACGGCACTTGTCGCGAAATAGCATCCTTCTTTTCGAGGCAGATGGAACATTGTGGGGCAAGTCGTCGATTAAGTCTTCACGTGGCGCTACCAAGGTTCTTGATCACTCTGTCATGGTTAGTTAACACGATTTGTTGCGAAATAGCAT